CTTTCACAGTACAATTAAACCCTTCTCTCGTCCAGAGAGACTGAACTGTGTTCAACCCTGGCACACAACAAAATCATTAAATCTAAGATGCCTCATTTGACAGATGCCTCATTAAATTCATCTCAAAGTTGAAGTAAGATATGCCTTTGAAAAGGGGGTGGAAGGCTGGAACACCTGTTAACCCTAAGAAAGCTTTGAGAACTGCTGTCTCAAAGTCCACATAGAGCTTCACTCACGTGAAATAGAAGATATTAATAGTATGTGGCACATCTAAAATCTCCTGCCACTAGAGAAATGCCTGTGTGTATGTGTGTTTAACACTTCCCTGGTGACCCAAACAGCATGGAAGGCTGAAGAATCAGGGCACGCACCACCAGCTGCTGAACAAAATTCCACAAATTCAACTCAACAAATGTTTAAACTAAAATGCCAAGTATTATGCTAGGCTTGGATCACATACGATGTCAATGAATGTTATGTTACCGATAAATCAAATTCAGGGTTCTAAAGAGAAAGAGAATAAAAAACAACAAAAACACCTTACACTTTAAAAATAATAATCTTTGAATAACCAATCACTTAAGGAGGTTGATTTAACAATCTTATAGCAACAAAAAGATACAAATTTCAATACAGAAACTTTACAAACTCATTTACACACATCTCCTCTCCCTACAATTATTTCAATGAGCACAAATACCCCATTTTAGGAATAACTATGAAATTCAGGGACAACAGCTAACTCTCTACCACTACATAACATATAAACTATAAAAACTGTACAACAACACAGTAATACCAATAAAGCAGTACTGATCACTAAAGTACAAATAACTCTGTTTTAAAATAGAAAACCTTTCATGATAGGTTTTTTTTCCCCAAAACTTTATTAAGTACAGCTATGATTTAAAGGAACTGTATTGTCACACCCCTAGCCTCAAGTTATCCACTTTTGAGATGAAGTGCTAATTCTCTATAGCCAATGAAGATTTATAATCTAAAAAACGAGGCATGCATGAATAAGAAAATAGAGAATTGTTAGGTAAACTTTATTTCATATCACCTTAAATGCAAGTATGACTATTTGCAACCAGGATATGTATTTTAGAACATTTCAGTCTCTTTCTATCCTGTCTACTTATTTGTCATTCTTGGTTCTTTATGTTTTTAAAGGCAGCATGACAAAAATAGAACCCTCCACATTTCACAACGAACACCACTATGGACTAGAGGACAATATCACCTCATTAACAACAAAAATAGCATATTTTCTGAATGCTTTTAACCAAGTGAAAATTCAAGTGCAAATGAAATTCAGCATCGTTTCATGGAAAGTGATATGAATTGCAAAACAGAATATCCAAGCTAATCTATTCTCAGTTCTGCCAAAGACTGGAAAACCACAAGCAAGAGTGGAACCTCTCTGTGCTTCAGTTTCTCCATCTGAAAAGCGGATTGACACAGACTCCTCCTTGATAATGTTTTTGCAAGGACAAATGAGATAATTTATGTGAAAGCCCTTTAAGATTTTTGAAGAAAATAAAACCCAACATGTTAATACATGTCATCAGACCAGCTACGAAAGAAAAGATATCATGCACTTTACATAAAAATGACAAATATAAAAAACAAAGTTAAACCTTTTGTTCTTAAAATCAAAAGGACTGTTCAGACACACACTGGTGTCACATGTTCATACCACGTTACTCAATACTGCTGTAATTATAGTAATAAGAGACTGCTTGTCAATATTACAGCTTAATGCTGAACCACCCCTTCTTGGTTTGCATGTAGGAAACCATGTAAGGTTTGATCATTCCCAGAAGAGAAAAAGAGAAGATATATGAGAGGGGTAAGGAGATCATTCTCAGCAATCCTAAGAAGTCACACATAAAAATATCTTGTCCAAGATTCACTAGGCACAGTGGATGTGTTCTCCATTCCGTCAACTCCTTTCCTACCATTAAAATTTGAACTGAAATAGCTAGACTACTAAAATCTAAAAGGTGGTAGAAAGTAAAAACTATAAAAATATATAGTTTAATACTGCACTTCATCAATGACTCGGACTCCAAAACACAAGCTCGTGAGTTTTTTGAAGTCCATAAGTTATGCTGAGAAACCTAAATTCTTGAATTTTTTTAACCTAAAATTACTCTAAGGCAAAATTTAAGATAGCTGATTTTGAATGGAAATTAAATGTTAACATACTTCCCATACTTAAGGCAAGTAACTTCAGAGAAAGCCATTTAAATGTTTTCATATTTTAAATTAACAACAACAACAAAAAGATTCCTTGGTAGGAGCAATAACAATTTCCAAAATACATTTTCATTAACAACCTCGTAATGAGTACTTTTTGTCCAATACCTTCTAGTTCCTTAAGGACTGTCATTTCACTTTACCCTAATAAATATTTAAATATTCAAAGCAACCACAAATGGCTTTCAAAGCCTTTTAAAAATAACTTGATTGGGATAATAAATACTAAAATTTAATTGAAAGGTGACCCTCAAGAGAATGAAAGTTCTCAGCCAAACTAGAACTTCTCAAAAACCACAGCTGACTAGATAAACTAGGTAGACAGCACATAACATGCTCAATTTAAACATAGGAAGATATTCTAAAAGTTCAAAGATAACTTCCTACTCTATCCTTAATTCCAAGTACAATATAAACAAAAAGATATTCAGCAATAAATTCAAGAGTAAGTTACATGTTAAATTATAAACGCAAATGTGGCGTACAACACCCTCTTAGAGGGTGTCATCTAAAACAAACACTAATTCTCTTCTTCCTAAGGAAAAGAATTACTAGCAAAATGTAACACTTTCCAGTTGTGTGTCCTACATTCCATTGCAACACAGGAGTAATTTCTAGGAATCTCCTCCAGCGTGGTGCAAACTTTTGCTGCATGTGAAGTCCTGACAATGTTTCCATACATAATAAGTGAGACCACCTAATAACAAGGCTCTTCTGTTTATCAGCTTCCTTGCAAAAGTTCAAGTGGACTCATTTTTGCTCAATTTTGTTCTTTAGCAACTGATGTTTGGAATATTAATATAGGTTTAAAATAAGGTAAACTTTGTATATTAAAAAGGCAATTAGACATCTTTATAACAACCAGGCATCTTCCTTCTAGACACCTGTACACTGGCATCATATTCTAGAACAGGTTGGATACTGTGTGTGGCTCCCTATTAGTTATTTTTATGAGCGTAAACAGAGAAGTATATATGTATTTATGGTGTGTATACAGAAATACAGTAAATAAGTTCAGAATGAAGTGACAATTACTGCTTTTCATGAACAAAACAAAAAGACCACAAAAATTCACCAGAAATATAACTTGTCACTTTTATACTTAGATGTTAAAAAAATATATTGTGTATCATTCACTTAAGAGTATTTTAGACACACCTGAAGAGACAATCTAGGGGAAATCCCAGATTAAAATTCTG